AAGAGTGTGGTAGCTGGTATTTGCACCACCATTGACCCCAACTGGCTGGATTTCTTGTCTCAATACGAATTTGACATAGACAAACAAGACATCTCCGACGACGAGATCATGGACAAGGTCAAAGAGTGATGTGAAACGATGAATGAGGCGTACGTCAGTGAGCCGTCCGCCTTATTCAACAAGCAATTGAAAACGGATCTTTCCATCGAAGATGTTTCCAATCGTGTATCCAAATACTATATGCTATTCGAGCAAATAGTTGAAGAGAATGGGTTCCAAGAGAATCTAGATCGTGGTCGGACAGGGGACCTAGACTTTACAGATCGCATGAAGGAGCGGAACAAAATACTCGTGGAGAACCTCCAACCACCAATGCTGAAGGAAGAGATCCAGGAAATGCTGAAGTAGCTCAAGTATAAGAACGTCAAGTCGAGTGATCAACTGCTATACAAGTTGGTACTTGAGCGAGCCACGCTGCAACAGCTGTGATACAACAGATTCCATGGGCGGGTTCGGTCTTCCAAAATATGTGCTAAGGAACCGGATAGAGAATTTTTTATAGGGATGGGAATCGCACTACACCGGTACAACGCGAGCCAACCCTTCGACGTCTGACCAAGTGGCGCGACCTTAAGATGCAAGCGCTCGTTGGGGAAACGTGAGTAGAAGTGGATCCGGACCTCGCCACGGTTGCCTACACTGTAAAGGAAGTCATTGGGTTCGAGATTGTCCAGTGGCGGCACCCGAAGAACGCGAAGCACTGTTTAAAATGCAATGGGAGAAGAGAAGCTGGCAAGGGAAGCGAGTGGCGGTGAAGTATGATGTCATGGAAGAGGGTCCTCTTGATGGATCTATTATCAAAGAAAACGATGCGTCGGATGAGTATTCAGTGCTGATCAATTGAGCTCTAGAAGTCTCCATGTGTCCTGATACTGGAGCGGATAAAAGCATTGAACCAGTCAATTTCGTCAAAATAATTCAAGAGCGGTGCAAGGACGTGAGGATTGTGCCAATCACGAACCCGCCGGTGATAAAAGCAGCGGGACAGAAGCCATTGACGTGCACGTCGATGGGTTCCTGGACCTACAGATTTGTACAGCGGCTGGGCTAGTCAATGTCCATAACGTAAAGTGCTATGTGTTGGAAGAAGGTGATGACCAGTTCGTGCTGGGCAGAGATGTTCTGGAGGCATTGGGAATCAATGTCAAGTCATCTTTGAAGAAATATGCCAACACAAGCATTAGATTGAATCGTGATGACCTGCCAAACGAACCAGAAGTTGGTGATTTAATTGATGAAGAAGTGAATGTGGAACTTAAGCGGATGTGTGACGAAATTACGGTTCTGACCAGTGACGAGACTCAACGCGATTTCCACGCGGAACTCCTCGATATCTATAATACAAACAAGCGGCTATGGAGAACTAAAGTTGGTCCAGACGAACCAGCACTTGTGGAACACTACGAGAGACGCTAGTGGAATGCGCTCAGCCGATACGATGCAAACCACATCGCTATCCACCAGCTCAAATGGCGTTCTTTGAGGAGCATGTGGAATTGTTGCTGAAGTACGGGTTCGTGAAGCGAAACAACTACAGTAGTTGGGCACCATACGCAGTTCCTGTCCGAAAGCATGACAACAAGGATCAGTTTCGCATTACGAACAGCTATATCGGAGTCAACAAGCTCACTGTTCCGATAGCGGGGACGATGCTGCATTTCTCTACTGTTCTTCAATTCGTAGCCGGTGCAAAGTATTTCGCCAAGTTTGATATGTTCAAAAGTTTCTGGCAGATGGAGTTGGCCCCTGAGTGTCAAGATTTCTTCAGTTTTATGACTCACGATGGAGTCTAAACGCCACTTAGAGTGCCACAGGAAGCAACCGGTTCGGCGCTCCATTTCCAGAATCGAATGCAAACCATCGAAAAGCCGCTGCTTTGCAGCGGCACTTTAGTGTTGATTGACGACGTGATCGTGTACGGCACTACGAATGCATTGTTTTGTTCGAACCTGAAAGAGTTCTATGAACTGACGAAAATTCATCAACTGAAGCTAATTGCGAAGAAGAGCGTGTTGCTCAGCTATGAAGTGAAGTGGTGTGGGTGTATCCTTGATGGGGAAGGTGTACGCCATGACCCAGACCGTCTCTCAGCATTGGTGGCATTGCCACTGCCAAGAACGGCAGCAGATCTTCAACGGTTCTTTTGCGCGTGCAAATGGATTCGTGAGAGTGTGGTCTATTATGCCAGAGTGACTGAAGTGCTTCAAGACAGCTATATGAAGCGCTCGCCAATCGTAGTCGTACGAAACGATCAGCAGCGGCGGTTCAACTTCGATGGCTAGTTGTTTTATGCTACTCTTCGCTCCATTGCATCGTCGGCTAAGCAATGCTATCCGGGAGAGAAGGCCACTGTGTGTCTGTTTACGGATGTATCTGATGGTGGGTGGGCAATGATTGTCACTCAAGTGCGCCATTGGAAAGAATACAGCCATCCGACTGACCAAGATCATGAGCTGTTGATTTATCAAGGCGGGATCTTCAGAGGAGCGCAACTACACTGGTCTGTAGTCCAGAAGGAAGCCTCCCCTGTGGTTCGAGCCTGCGCCTCGCTGGATTATCTCTTGAAGAAAGAAGGAGGTTTCCAGATCGACTGTGATTACAAGAACCTGGTACAAATTTTCAGTCCTACCGACGATATAAAGAACCACACACGTGGCAAACTCCTGCGATGGTCTCTACAGATTTCAAACATGAGATTCACTATCGAGCACACTGAGGGTGTGAAGAATGTCTGGGCTGACATTGTTTTGAGATGGATGTCGCCAGTCGCCACCAATCACGCGCCAGAGATCTGTGTTCGAGTTGCTCGTGTGGATGAACAAGACAACGTGTCACAGCTGCGGCCTCTCCAAGACGATAAGTTCGTATGGCCAAGTGTTGAACACATAATGTCGGCGCAGAAGAAGGACCCGATCATTGTCTCGAACTTGGGAATAACGGCCTGTATTCAAAAGAAAACAAAGTGTGGATTCCTCCAGAGTCAGATGATTTTGTGGCGCGTATCTTCACGGTTGCACATTGTGGTGTTCGTGCTCACCGTGGGGTAGATGCCATTTTCTCGGTGTTGAACCCAAATTTGCAATTAATAATCTGCGGTCCAAGGTCGAGAAATTCGTGAGCCGTTGCCTGTTGTGTAAGCATGTAAAAGGAGGCATGCTCATTCAACGCCCATGGAATTCCACACATACAGCTACTCAAAGAAATAAACTCCTCCACATGGACTTCTTATACATGGGAGAAAGTTACGGCAGCGCCAAGTATGTGCTTGTCATGAAAGATGACCTCTCACATTATTGTGATCTTGTTGCAAGCGAGAGTGCCAATGTGCTGGTGGCGGCATCCGCGGAGTTAGATTGGTACAAGTGGTTCGGGCTCCCGCAGAGACCTGGGTCTCAGACAATGGGTCTCATTTCCGCAATGGGTCTCATTTCCGCAATGGGTCTCATTTCCGCAACACAGTGATGGAAGATTTACGGAACAGCTTGGGTGCCCATCAATGATTCGGGCTAGTCTACACTCCGTGGCTGAATGGGACTGTCGAGAGAGTCAATCGGGGTATCCTTCAAGTGGTGCGAGTATTGTTACTGGAGTATCAACTCGATACTCAGAATTGGGAGAATCTGCTTCCAGTAATTCAAGCCAACTTGAATCAGACTCCAGTAAAATCCTTGGCTGG